TATGATTTAATTTCTGTGGGCTTCAAGTCAAGGTGGTGTAATTGTACAGAGACTGCTAAAGGTCTGTATAGGTCAGTATTAAAATACTGAAATTCCAGAAATAGAAATGTTGGCCTAAACCAAATATTATTGCTTGTCTGTCAAGTTAAATAAGTGTGGTGTAGTCAACGTACTGTACGGGTGACCATTTCGTTGTCATGCAACAAGAAAACAACCAGAAAGGACCCCTTCAGACCCTCATGTTGTGTGTCAAGATCAGTGACCACTGATTTCCATTGTATGGACAAAAAACATGAAGGACATTTCTCAACTGTTTCTCAGCTGTTGATGTAATGCCACCTCCACAATTATGACATGTAAATCAGTCTGACTAATCTCATAACTTTTACAGAATATTATATGCAAGGAAGGTTATTTCACTCTTGATGGGTGCAGACCTGGTCTTCTGGGTAGAGTGTGGCTGTAGGAGAGGCTTTGGAAGAAGGTGACTTAAAAAAAAAAAAAAAAAAAAAAAGACAAAATGTCTTATAGTTGACATGACTACAATTTCATTGATAGCTGAAAGCATATTAAAATGACTTAATAAATCAAAATATTTAATAAAAATGGAAAGGGCTATGGAGCATTTTATGAATGACTAATGTTCCCATTCAGCAATACCATGTGAGCCTAGTCATAAGTCAAATTTGCATTAGATGATGTTTCTTTAGGGATTCTCAAACCAGCATCTGACAGATCTCTTCTTAACACTGCCACCTTGAGGGCAAACAGTCAAATTACAAAAAGCAGTGTACCACTAAAACCTCAACTATTTGGTCATATTATACACCATACTTGGTGACAACTACCAATCCACAGATACAAATGCACCCGTGTCCCTGTCCTTGCCCGCCTCAGAGGAGTACAGAGAGTGCACTAAAGTGAAAGAGTGTAGTCGCGAGACAGTTTGAGAGGTCTGACCTGCTGAGCTCAGAGTGAGATCTCTTTCCATTGGTGCGTTCCCAGCGTGAGGAGGCAGACTCCAGTGGGGGCAGAGAGGAAGAGGCTGAACTGCGCCTCAGCTGAGGGGTAGGGAGACTGTTCCTGCTGCTCAGACCCTGAAAGTACAAGGTCATTTAGGAAGTACTCAATAAGCAGGATGATTTAAAATGCACCACTTACAGGGACAATACCTCTGTAGATCATAATATCTCTGGCTCAAGGGCACACATTTCCAAATTTCTCACTGTATTGCTCACTTAGACCCAAGTTGAGGCAATATTTTAGAACACTCTCCTAAACTGCCTTCTCACCCTTTTCTCTCTCTCTCTCTCATTTGTAATATTAAAAAGTATTATTCATTCTAGTAAAGCGTTCCATTTGGACGGTTAGTGAAACTGTCAAACAGTTCTTTAATTTGATTTAATGCCCAAATTTTTTTTCTATCATTATCAATGTTAAAAACAGTTCCTGCTTAATATTTTTGTGGAATCTGGGATATACTTTTTATCAGGATTCTTTGAAGAATAGAATGGACATTTATTTGTATTATAAATGTGACTTTTGACAAATGTACAGTGTTCTTTCTGAAAAAAAAAAAAATTATTATTTCATAGAAAAAATAAAAAACTTACTGATTCAAAACTTTTGAATGATAGTGTATGTTTGTACCAGTTGTTATCAACTGATATTCGATTTTTTCATTTATTGGTATTGTCTATATTGGATATACAATGGCTCATACTGGAAATGTAATTGTGCCACATTTCCCATATTATTAGAGTATTTAACTTTTAAGTGCAATAACACTGTAACACTGTTAAGTGCAAATGTCATAATAAATATCCGACTGTACATTATAATGCTGTGATGCCTAAATTCACTTTAAGCATTTAAAACCACTGATTTTACTTTTTAGTACCGGTATTTATAAATACTAAAAAGTAGACAAAATAGCACAGAATTGACTTTTTTCATCAGTAATCAGCCATAACATGTACATAATTATCAGCTTACCAGCACTGGCCATAATTTTAATAGCAGTGCACAGAAAAATACCTTAAATTCTAAAATTATTATAATTATTATTTATAATCACTGGATATGTTTATACCTAAATATATAACTATTGGCCCTTGAGCAACAACAATACTTTTTGTTAGTAGCGAACTACTTTTTCAAAAGTGTAGCTTGACTGCAGTTACACTACTTCAAATTATGAGTGACTTGTAGCTCAGCAAGGATCCCCAACACTGCTGCTTACCTACCTTCAGTGGCTTTCTCTCTCCTCTCTCTGAGGGGTCTTCTATCTCAGCGCAGGGGTAGAAACCGGGGAAGGGGGTGAAGGGGTTGACCCGGGGCCGGCAGGACCCAGAGAAAGCTCCCATGAGGCTGCTGACACTGCGCAGTGAGGAGAGGACATGGGGTGAGAGAGACAGGTCCATCAGCAGGTCTGAGACCAGGTTCCTGGCCTCGTTTATCACAGAGAGATCCACGCCGCTCCCACTCACTGCACCCTAAGTACACAAAAAGTACATATTACAACATCCATAGAATGCATTGCAAAATCAGGAAATTGCTGCATAAAGATGCAGAGATTTACCCTGTACATATCTGTTTTTGGGACATCTACTGCCCCCTTGTGGTCATTTAGAAATACAGCAGGATTTTAAACCTTTACCTTTACATTTGCATTTTGGCAGACACTTTTACCCAAAGTGACTTACATTGCATTAAAGCTACACATTTTATCAGTTAATGCATTCCCTGGGAATCAAATCTATGACTTTGGCGTTGTTACAACGATTGAGCTACAGGAACGCTACAGCATGCCATCCCACTGCTCCAGACTTGTGCCAGTAGTAACTGTAGCAAAGAATGACTCATTCTCGGAGCCATCCATTTGATAATTCCAGTCAAGTAGCAGAGACCGTTTTTGATTATATCCACTCAGCGGAAAAAAGGAACCGTTCATAATGATATTACAGGAAGAACTCTGGGTATCTATAATAAACTCAGCTAGTCTTAATCCATCTTCAGCCTTGTGTGCACATGCTGCACTCATTTTATTGATTGTATTTAATTCAGACCTACAGAATTGTTTTGAAGGGGGGGTGGTGGTTCTGATGAAAGTAATAAAGTAGAAAGGCAGCACTGCTGCAACCTGCGTGTGTGCATGCTCACACATGTGTGTGGTAAAAGTGCACAGCGAGCACTTTCTCCAGGCTTTGACGTCATTTGGCAAGCTTTATGTGAGCCAGGATGAGGGTTATCCACTTGCAGGTCAGCCGCAGTAATGAGCAGCAGGCAGATGGAGGGGCTATAGGACTCAGCATGCTAACAGGCTACAAACTGTCCTCATATGGACGATATGAGGCTCATTCAGACGTAAAGAAAGTGAGAGGAGATGCTGGTCTATATGTAAAGGACTACAAAGATTACTCTCTTATTCTGGGCTGTATATAAAACATTATAAAATAAAACTCACACACAACTAATATAATAATATAATATAATATAATATAATATAATATAATATAATATAATATAATATAATATAATATAATATAATATAATATATGATAATACAGTATTTATAAAACATAAATGTATTTAACATTTAGAACCAGACATTCTGAATGAATGATTACTATAAAAAGGAAAATCACATTAAAAATTCATTATACCAATAATTTTTAAATACATTTTATTAAATTATTTCCATTTTATACATTTGTTTATAAATAGAAGGGTAACACTTTACAATAAGGTTCCATTAGTCAATGTTAGTTAATGTATTAACTAACATGAACAAACAATGAACAATACATTTATTACAGTATTTATTCATCTTTGTTCATGTTAGTTAATGAAAATACAGTTGTTCATTGTTAGTTCATGTTAATTCACGGTGCATTAACTAATGTTATCAAGCACAACTTTTGATTTTAATAATGCATTAGTAAATGCTGAAATTAACATTAGCTAAGATTAATAAATGCTGTAGAAGTATTGTTCATTCTTAGTTCATGTTAAATAAAGTAGTTAACTAATGTTAACTAATGAACCTTATTGTAAAGTAAACAACATACAGAACTACCACATTTTGCTATAAGTTTGACTGCATCATATAATAATTGCTGTTAATAGTGTTCATCGTCTGTTTGATTACGTCTTTAATTGATTTTTCCGTACATTTCTGCCATATGTACATTGACTGACAGTCACCACTGATAAGCTACCACTAAATATTGTAGAAACTTAATTTGCTGTAAAGTTGCTTTGCAATGATTTGTATCGTGAAAAGCGCTGTACAAATAAACTTGAATTGAATTGAATAAAAGTGTTACCAATGGAAGAACATCACAAAGGTTCATAAAAGTGAATTAAAAACAAACGTACTTGAGTGGCCTGAATATTGGCTAGTTGAGCCAGAATGTCATGGGACTACTTACCTAATAAACCTTATATAAATAGTGCTGATGAAATACTCAAGTGTTGAAAAGCTAAACAGGAGTAGAACTGACCTGATATTGTGGCTTGTACCATTGTTTCAGGTCCCAGTCCCACAGGATCATCTAAGGACAAAAAACAAAGCACATTTCATTCACGACTGCCACCCTGCACAAAACCTATGGAACGTTAAGACAAAGAAGCACCTAAATGAGTTATTTTTATGTTGCTGAAGTTCCTATAACCATGTAAAAATAAACACATTTCTAGGTATTGGTTTTAACAACCATTTGATGTGTTAGTGAACGTTTTGTCAACACCTGAGCAATGCTTCTTGTGTGCTGAAAGCTGCTGAACGAAAAACTTTCTGGTGCTTGCCAGGGTAAAAAAAAAGAAAAGAAAACCACTGTAACCACAATGAGACGTCAACAATAGCGCTCGCAGATCTTATCTAGCCAAACTACGTCATTTGACTGCATTTCCACGTTATCTGTCTCAGAGGCTCAGAGGAAAGTCACCCAACAGAAGCCAAGTCCCACAACACTATCACCAGACTGTGTCTGTTTTCTGGTATCATGGAGTAGCAAAGCAACTTTTACAGTTAAATTGAAAAACAAGTTGTCTAAATATATTAAAAACATGATCGAATTGTCTTGTAGACTAAAACTCTTTCTTTGAAAATGTAACTAATCCATTAGGCCCAAACATCAAAACAAACTTGCACAAGTCACAATCAACACGTTTAGCAACAAAACAAAAAGTATAGATTTTAGGCGTTATAACTAATAATTAAATACGTTTCTGGCCATTTGTCTTATATTTTTGCAGCACAATTCTACAGTCCTACAAAGTGACAAATTCATTTGTTAAAAGGACAAATATTCCATGCAGTTTTATGGCCTCATATTAATTAGAAGACAACATGTATGCTTTTATAAGAATTAGAAAAATGTTGTTTAAAATTAAGGATTTTATAACAACAAGCTATTTTTTTTATTTTTGCACAAAGTCTGGTTTACTTCTGTTCACAACAAAAAAGGGGGATAAAATATTTTCTTTCAGGGATGTGGAAAACTTTTTTTTAGGGAACACTGGCATAAATGAATTTCACAACAAAGCAAACACAAATTAAGAAGAGTTCAACATCATTATCAAAACAGTGGCATGTCACAATTCTAAAAAATCAGACAAGCAAAGTTTGAGAGAGTTCTCGGCCAGCAACGGCTCATATGTAAGTGGTCGCCATGTTAAACTCATAAAGTCACTGTAGCTGAATGGCAGTGCAGCGTTAGACCACATGGGGGAGTACTGGTGATATGCACGAGAAGAGCCTGGTTTCTCCACACAACAGACAAAGCAGAAGTCCCCTGCACCTGTGCTGGCCGTGTCATGTGTCACTTCCAGCAGCTCTGATCTTTAAAACCAGCAGCACTCTCAGGCAATCAGAGCTGTCCAAAAGACATGACCATAGACTCTTACTCATCCAACACACAGGCTCAGAGAGCAACAGATGGAGTTGATGGAAACACACTCACCTGTTTAACCTGAATCAAAAAAAAAAACAAAATTACACAAACATTAAACCACCCCAAGACACAAAAAAACGACTCATTTGAGTTCAAATGACTTAATTCCATGTCTGGAATTGGATCTGATTATGATGCAGACACAGTGGCCTCTTGCTCTCAAATCAGATGTTTTACTGATCAGACAGAGATGATCACTGTTTGCTGTCAGCATCTTAACGCCATCAAACATTTAGTATGGCAAATAAGCACTGCCATGGCAACCTGAGAGAGGCCAGCAAACAATAGTACAAAACGTCATTGCAACCAGGATGGCGGGAGACAGACAGAGGAGAAATGTGTCAGAGAAAGGTGTCTGATGCTTTCTCTCTCATTCACAGGGAAGGTTTTGTGGGTGAGAATGACCACTTAACATCAGACTGGTCACATACGTTCCCATTAAATCAAGCATGTGGCATTGAGCTACATCTGTAGATGAACACAGACTCGAGTCTCGCCCCCTCTGAATGTTACACAGAGCAAATCTCTCTACTTTTGTTCTTTACAGTCTGTTGAGCTAGTAAACTTCACAGATGGGACAGAGATTAAGAAAAAAATAAAGGTGGGTCAGTTTCATAAAATTGGCTTCCTTGAATGTGTTACAATATTTTGACTCTGGTACGCCTGGTATTAAAGGGGTCATATGATGTTGCTAAAAATAACATTATTTGGTGTATTTGGTGTAATGAAATGTGTTTATGCAGTTTAAGGTTAAAAAAACACATTATTTTCCACATACTATACATTATTGTTTCTCCTCTATGCCCCGCCTTTCTGAAAGAGCTTTTTTTTTTTTTACAAAGCTCATCGGTCTGAAAAGCGAGGTGTGCTCTGATTGGCCAGCTATCCAGTGCATTGTGATTGGCCGAATACCTCAAGCATGTGACGGAAATGTTACGTCCCTTACCATATTGTGATGCCCTGTCCGGCCGGAGCGACGAGACAAAAACATTAAAACCCATTATAAACGAGGCATTTGTTGCATCCAGTGGGGACATAATTACGGATTATAATGACTTATACTGTCTTTTTACACGTTGCATTGCATCGTGACGCGTAAACATAAAACCATGTCTGCATTTGTGTCTGAGAAATGACAAACAACAAGCCCTACTCTACACTGCTTAACACTCCAAAGAGAAAGGAAAAATTTAAATCGCATCATATGACCCCTTTAAGATCTGTTTGGGTAAAGTGAACAGCATTAAATGCAGGTGTAATAAATGGGATCCATAAAGTTTTGTGAGCTAACTCGTACATAGTTGAAAATGCATGTGCTCACATTGCATTTGGAGTCTAACTGCTAATCCATCCTGATACACTACCATTCAAAAATTTGAGGTTTTTAAGATTTTAGTGAGGTGTGGGTTACACTGATCAAAAGTGACAGTAAAGAATTTGAAATTGTTACAAAAGAAATTCTATTTCAAATAAATTCTCTTTTATACTTTCTCTTCATCAAAGAATCTTGAAAAAAAAGTATCATGGTTTTTACAAAAAACTAAAAAATAAACAGCACAACTTGTTTTCAACATTCATAATAATACTGTACATTTTATAAGCAAATCAGCATATTAGAATGATTTCTGAAGGATCATGTGACAGTGAAGACTGGAGTAATGATGCTGGAAATTCTCCATTGCCATCACAGAAATTATTACATTTTAAAATGTATTAATATTAAATCACAAAATAGTTTAAATTGTAATATTTCACAATGTTACTGTTTTTACTGTATTTTAGATCTAGTAAATGCCGCCTTGGTGAGTATAAGAGTCTTCTTTCAAAAATAGTTTAGATAAATTGACTGATGTTGAGATGCACAGCTGAGGTAAAGTTTTTTTAAAAAGACAATTCCACTAACAACATCATGTTTGTTTTTAGATTAAAATGCATGTATATTTGCATTAGGGAAGTCGTGGCCTAATGGTTAGAGAGTCGGACTCGTAACCCAAAGGTTGCGGGTTCGAGTCTCATGCCAGCAGGGATTGTAGGTGGGGGGAGTGAATGTACAGCGCTCTCTTCCACCTGCTCAATACTACGACTGAGGTGCACTTGAGCAAGGCACCGAACCCCCAACTGCTCCCCGGGTGCCGCAGCATAAATGGCTGCCCACTGCTCCGGGTGTGTGTTCACTGCTGTGTGTGTGCACTTAGGATGGGTTAAATGCAGAGCACTAACCATACTTGGCCACATGTCACGTCACTTTCACTTTTTCACTTTTTATTTGAGAGTAACACTATGCAGACTTTCCTTGTACACTCTGCCGTAGTCAGTGATGTATGTAGTCATGAAATCAGAGACTCTCCCCTTGAAATCCAATCACAAGTGGTCACAGGAGACGCACTTAAGATTCATGTAACTACCAGGTGTAAACACCTGTAAAAAGTTTAAGCATATTGTCTTACCTTGACTCCATGCGAGTGCGCAATCTCAATCACTATTTTCAAAAAAGTGTCAAATATTAAATAAAAAAAAAAAAAAGGATTTTTACAAATACGAATTTACGAATCTCATGAATAGAGATGTCTTACTAGAGTTGCACCATTTGCTAGCCTTGATATAAATCAGAAGATCAAATCTAAAATGTTACCTAAAATGTCTTTGAAATAAGTCTCTTTTACGCTCACCAAGGATGCATTTATTTGATAAAAAGTATATACATATAAAAACAGTAATACTGTGAAATATTATTATAATTTAATATAACTGTTTTCTATTTTAATTCCAGATTCCAGATTCTTGTGATGGCAAAGCTAAATTTTCAGCAGTCATTACTCCAGTCTTCAGTGTAACATGATCTTTCATTGTAATATGCTGATTTGGTGCTCAAGAAAACTTTATTATTATTATTATTAATGTTGAAACAAATATTTTTGTGGAAACTGTGATATATTTTTCAGGATTCCTTGATAAATAAAAAGTTCAAAAGAACAGCATATTATTTAAAATAGAACATTTTTTAACAAATGTAAAAGGTCTTTGCTGACACTTGCATCCTGCTGAATAAAATGATTCATTTCTCTAAAAATAAAAATTGTACTGACAAACTGCATTTAATCCATTTTTATATAAACAGATTTAGACAGAAAAAAAAATATCATCTCAGGACTCACTGACAATTTTTTTCTGATTAAAATACAAGCAAAAAAACAGCAGGTAAAACACCCATACATGTACATGTGTAGAAATACACTCCCTTAATCCGACCCACAGGCAAAAACAGAGTCTTGTTCTTTAAAGGACAGAAAACCTGCATTGTGGGAAAAATGTGTCATACAGTATTTGCATTACAAAGCACCAAAACAGTTAAAACACTCAAAAGTAGACTCTAGTCTGCAAACATTCGCCTACATAAGGTCAAAGACATCATGATTTGCGTAAACCTAATGCTAACACAAATGACATGTGGGAACTGTGCTGACAATGAGATGAAATAAAACTGAGTCGTCAACAACAACACTGAAAAAATGGAACTTCCGCTACTAAATTGTCACTACGAGAGCATCAGTGTGAGATGGAGAGTATAAGAGCATTGTGTGTTTGAGAGAATGTCAGTC